ATTAACTGGAGCTAAGAATTTGTTGAAGAAAATTAAAAGTCTGTGTTAAAAGATATCCATCTCACACACGTCTGTATTTGGAGTCTGTATGCAGTTGCAAAGGCGCTCAGGTTTGAAAACACTCAGAACTACAACTCTGTTGTAGGGGGACTGCATCTCTTTCTGCATAAATAAATGCACAGTATTCATTTGAACTAATAGAGATTTTGATACATAAGTGCGATTAATGTCTTGTGTGGGTTCTTCCATAAGAAAAACCTAAATGAGATTATCTTTCTTTAACTGTGTAGCCATAGTAGTGTTTTATATGAGTATATAGATACTATTTCATTAGGAGAGTCACATAAACACACAAACACTGTATGTGTTTATATATATGCATATTATGTATATATGCTGACTTAAAACATACTGGGTTTGGTTTAATTTTTGGTAGGGTTACATTCCTCCTTTGTCCATATATAAAGGGATGCTTTGGCTGTAGGAAGTCCACTCCTAGAGGGTATATGCTGCTAATAGTTTTCAGTCCGAACAGAAGACAAGAAATGGATGATAGGAGCAGAGGAAGAGTACATCCTAATGAATGGGTGTGACTGGTGAGAATCTCAACAAATTGGGAGTTCAGCTGCTTGTCATTTGATTTTTTTCCAGAGGAGAGTTTTCAGAGGAAACGAGAAGTTAGCTGGGCTCACTCATGTTTGTAGGGGACTCTCTCTAAACCTGGATGACAGCATTGGAGAAAGCAGGAATATGCATACTTCAAAAACAGATGAAAAATTCCAGGATCATGGCTGAACTGAAAGTAGGACTTGGTGTTTTGGCCAGAGATAAATAGGGACCATAAATGTCATTTAAGTTTAGCAAAGGAGAGGACTTGAGGGATATGGGGGAGGTGGAACTGAGCAGAACGAGAGCCTCAAGAAAAGGAGCAAAGCAGAGGATGGGCTGCAGAGGGCAGGTCTGCACTCCAGTCGATTGCCTGAGTGTTCTTCTGGCACCCCTTCGCAGCGGCAGAGACCTGCTCCAGAAAGGACACAGCTCCTTGCAGGTCCCAGTGCTCTTCCCACCAAAGGTTATTCATAAATCCCCATGCCGTAAGAGCACACCACCTTCCCAGGGAAACAAGTGTCCTGCGTAAAGGAGGCGCCTCGAGACCTTGTGCTTGCACAAGGCTTGTCCCTTGCCACTTCGCATTCGCTTTGCTTGCGGGGGATAGAGGCACACGTACACCTCTGAGAAGAAAAAAGTTGCCCACATCACTTGGCCCAAACAATCATACCAGGGCTTGTTACTTGGTGGTGAGAAGCTTTTATTTTAAGTAGATACGTGCGTTTTTACATGACGTTACTTTACTGGCTTACAGAGATGGATGCCACAATGTGCAACAGCTTCAACTGAGGGCAGTTTAAAGCACAGACTGAAGAGGTGTGTTGTACAGCACAGAGAGTTTACTGAGAGGTGATGTGTAACTGCAACCAGGAGCTGTTGTCCCCCAGTGCCCTCCTGGAAGTTGAGAACCACTACTAAGAGAAAAAGCAGTGCTGCTTGAGCTTCAGGTGCTCATTTGCCACCTTGTCAGGCAGGCAGGTTGTCTGCAGTGATCCTGTCACCCTTCTGCTCTCCATTGGGTTGCCTGAGCCATCTTGCAGAAGTTCAGGAGAAACCTGGAACACACTGTGATACGCCTGTGTAATACACTGTGTTAAGAGGGGCTTGGCTCGTAGAGGAGGTTGAGCTACAGGGGTCACAGCATGAGTTTGCAAAGAAAATCTCAGTTTGCACCGTGTGCATGTATAATCCTGTATAACTCAGGTATGGTAGTGTCTGATGACTGCAGAAAGTGTACTCACTGACCTTAGGTAAGCCTTCAGTTTTCCCTTCTTAGAAGACAGTATGGCAATAGACTGCAGACTCGGGTGAAGTAAGAGACCTTCATTCTGTGCAGCCATAGCTCTCTCTACGGAGAGATCCAGCATCCCGGTGCACTGTCGTGTGCTTGCCAGGCACTTCACAACCACCCTACTTACTAAATGCACCACGTTCCTGCAACGCAGCGGACGTGCGAGGGGAGCACCAGCTGCATACCTAATCTTATTTAGATTTATGGGTGTATTTTTAACCTCAAGGAAAGGTTTCAACTCCCTCCTTCAGCGCTTTCCCTCTCTTCTCTGCACAGCAGCTCCAAGGAGGCTGTGTTCGGTCCAGTGGTAGCGTCCCCCCACAACCCGTGGCAGCATATGGGAGGACTTCACAGGCGTGAAGTACCAGAGGGGGAGCAGGAGCCAGTAGTGAAACGGGGATCAGTGCTTCTCAGAGGGTTCACCTGTGGGACAAAGCAAAGAGCAGGAAACACACGAGGTGCTGGGCGGTAGCTGCTCGGCTGGTTAAAGGAAGCAGCATCGTTCTAGGAGCTCAGATCAGGCAGATGAATGAAGTGTAGAAGAAGTGTTACTGTGCCTGTAGACAAAATGCTCAGTATGGTTTCTCTTCCACTTCAGTGAAATGCCCTGTTTCCAAGCAGCTGGGCAGCACCCCCAGCTGGGCGAGCTGGTGCGGGTGACACAGGATTCCTTCCTTAGACAGTTCTCCTTTACCCAGGCTCCTCCTGACCCGTTCTGCCCAAGTCCCTTCCCTCTCCACCACTTGGGTGTCCCCTCAGCTCCAACTAGTTGCCTGCTGTCCCTGGGTAGGTATTTTCAACAGCAAATGGCCCCAGGCTGGCATCAGTCCAGAGGATGGAGACAGGACCCACCTATCACACGCAGCACTACGTGCAGCTGTTCACCTGTTTCCTTCTCCGAAGGCTGTTCCTGGTAGCAAGAAGATGAAAGGTGGGGATACCTTTGTTAATAAAAAACTCCAGAGAAAACCAGAATCCAATAAGGAGTAAACAAGGCTATGTTCGTAGTCCGCCTTTTCCCAAGAAGGCTTCCTCGCAGATCTGCCTTTGGCTCAGCTACGGGCTCCAGCCTGGCAAAACATGTCTGTGCGTGGTGTTGAGAAGGAGGGTTGGCCGCCACTGCGGACCTGTGCTCTGGTGTTCATGTGGAGGCTCTCCGAGGCAGACAACTACATACTGCTGTTCTCCAGGCAGCCCCCGCCACAGTCACACAGGAATTCCGAGTTGCAGAGGTGACAGAGCCAAGCTCTTCCCAGCACAAGCAGGTGATCTTAGGGGTGACAGCCACCAGCTGCGGATGGGGAGATTCGGACTAGACAGCGGGAAAAGTGTTTCCATCCAGAGGGCATTGCAGCGCAGGAACCTCCCTCCGCCTTGGTGGCGGGGGCAGCTGCCTTGCCTGGAGGTTGCAAACCTTGGCTAGTTGAAGCTATGGCCAGCCCGTCACTGTGCCAGCCACAGTCCTGCTTTGAGTAGGCTGTTGGGTGAGGTGAGGCAGAGAGCTCCCTCCCAGCCAACACTTACTTTGACTAGTTAATAGGGCAGCATAGCTGTACAGCAACTACCTAGCTTAGCCAGGCTCCTACAGGGTGTTCAGACCATTGATAGATGAGTGCATACCAACTTTTCTTCATACATGGGGCTTTTGAGGACACAGGCTCTCTGCAGGCCAGCACTGAGGTCAGACCTGCTTTGAGGAGGGCTCAGACAGCTTTCTGAAAGGACCTGTCAGAGTCCCATTTCCCACCTGAATTATTTTAGGCATCCCTCTAAGTCAGCCTTTGGGATGCTATACTTACCTGTACCATAAATAAAACCACCATCATCCAAAAGCTCATTTGTGCACATTTAAAACAAGAAAGGGCTGCATGTGACTATTATTAACTGCCTAGCCATAAAGAAAGGTTATTAGCTTAAAGAGTTATTTGTATTAATCAAAAGTGTCCATTCAGGTTTACTTTTCAGCAAAATAAAGCAGCCGGTTTTGTTCCTCTTCATGTCTCTATGCATGTCTCTATCCCTTCCAGCCTCAACCAGAAGAGCAGCATTCTTGGGAACTGTGAAATCCTACATGTGATTTTTTTATCATAGTCCAGTGACCTCAGAAAAGAACCTAGGAAGTCCCTGCTCCTGACGACCTTCTCCTTATCACACGGGCTCAAACCTCGATGGGAACCCAACATGTAAGTTGCCCTCAGCAAGGCTCTCAGACTCATCAGGGCAACAGGTTCAAGCGAAGGTCAGTCAAGGTCATGTAAGACTACCCCTTGTCCCCTTTTCTCCCCTCCCTTCAAGGAAGGGTGGGAGGGTTTCTCCAGCGAGTGCCCCCAGAGTGGGTTTGCAGCCCCACCACCGGCATCCCCTTCCTGTCAGTGGGTCCAGGGCGACCGCAGCGCTGTCAGCAGCGAGGAAGGGCACCCTGGCAAGGAGCAGCCACCCAAGCAGCGGATGCAGGCAGCAGCACTCCCAGGAGCTCTGCAGCCTCACATCCTCACCCCCTCCCTTGAGGAAGGGCTTTTCTGGTAACTGCTCACCCCGTTCAGTGCCCGGCTGCAAGAGCGGGGATGCTGTGTGCCAGTGCGGGTGAGGAGCTGTAGACAACTTTCTGCACAGAAGTAACATCCCAGCCTTTTCCTGAAAAGCCCTGAGTCCATGCGCTCCACACCAGCTGCCCCAAGGCCTGTGGGAACACTGCCTCAGCGCTCCAGGGCAGAGAGTCAGGGTAGCCATGGTGGTCACCAGCAGAGTCCGGCAGGGAATGAAGACGGGAGGGAGGGTGGTGTGGTGCAGTGCTGAGAAACCCCCAGCTGGGTTTGCCAGCCAGGGTGGTTGCACAAGCTACCTCCTATGGGGATGGGGTGAAAATGGACCTCCCTGTGCTCCAGGACAGTGGGTCCAGCGGTGCAGAGCACAGAGCCAGGTGTGCAGAGCCAGGCAAGGCTGTGACCTGGCTGGGTTGGCTTTGTGAGAGCCCCTGGCTTCAGATAGGGGAGTGATGGAGCCTGTTGGAGGTGTTGGTCCTTGCAGCCCAGCTCTAGCTCCTGCCCTCAGGCATGGTCCATAAGCTGCAGGCCAGAGCGAAAGGGAAGGGGCTGTGCCATTAGACAGAGATGGAGCCAGGCTGCTTGCTGTTGCTCTCAGAGGGAGTCTTGGCAGTGGAGGAGGAGGTCATCGAGCCGCTGTTCCTGAAGATGCGTAGCAGCCTCCGCTTGTAGCCTCGGAAGGCAAAGAAGTAGATGATGGGGTCGATGCAGCAGTTGAGGTTCATGAACGCCACAGTGACTTGCAGGGACATCTTGAAGGCCTGCTGCTCACGGCAGGACGGCTGGTAGATGATCTTTCTGACCATGAACTGGACTATATTGAGGTGGTAGGGACTGAAGCAGAGCAGGACAGCCAACAGCACCACTAGGATGATGGTGAAGGCCCGGCGGTGGTGCCCATTCTTCACCGTCAGCGGGTTCTCCTTGGCTGTCTGGCAGAGCTTGAGGTTGATCCTCACATAGCACACCAAGATGATGCCCACAGGCAGGAAGAAGCCAAGCATGCAGGCCACCAGGAGCAGGTAGGGCAGCTTGGGAATCTCCTCAAAGTTGAAGTACTCCATACACGTCAACTTGTCCCCCATCATCTGTGTCATGGGCCGCAGGAGCAGCGGCGCTGTCTGCAGGAACACTAAGGACCACATGAGGACACAGACACCCCTGGCACGGCTCATCTTGCGGATCCTGCTGGGGTGCCTGGTGCGCACCACGGCGATGTAACGGTCCACGCTCACACAGGTCATGAAGTAGATGCCCACGTAGGTGTTCATGTAGAAAATGAAGGCTGTGACCCGGCAGAACCAGTCCCCAAATGGCCAGTCAAACTCCCGGATATAGTAGGCAATCCTGCCCGGCAGTGCCAGGGTGAAGAGGGCATCGGAGAGGGCCAGGTTCACCAGGTAGAGATCAGTGGAGTTGAGTTTCTTCTTCCTGCGCTGGAAGGTGATGCAGAGAGCCAGGATGTTCCCGCAGGCACCGAACACCAGCAGGGCAATGTAGAAGAGGGAGAAGGTGACTTTGGCAGAGAAGTGGTGGTTGTGCACGTTGCAGCTGCTCTGGTTGCTGGAGGTGAGGTTGGCAGGCAGCAGCAACACCGACTCCGCAACAGCCATTTCCACGGTGCCTCGTGAGCTCGCACCCTCTCCCTTGCAATAAGAAGAGAGATGAAACTTGCAGCTTATTGATAACGGGAGTGGCACCCATAGGGCCAGCCCTCATGGCAAAGCAAAAGGCCGGTCCCCTGCTCCCTGCCTCCCCCCTGGCAGCGCATAGCTCGAGTCATTTGGAAAAATGCATCTCTTGTGATTTCGGTGCAAGCGCCCCAGCAAAGGCTGTGACTCATTGTCTTCTTGTCACCAGCTCCTCTTATTTTGGGGCTTTTTTTTTTTTGCAAATCGATTCCAGAAAGGGAGGAGGGGAGATTCTCTGTCACACAAACAAGGTCCCAAACTCATCTGGTGGCAGCGATGTCATTTATTCATCGAAGTGGGGAGCTTCATTGCCCAGAAAGCAGGGGGGCTGAGGAGGGGGGGCTGAGCTGGGGCTGGAGGTGAAGAAGTGACCAGCAGCACCTTTGCAACCCCCGGGCTGGGACCAGAGCGGGAATACCCGCTGAAGGAAAGAAGGAATTCAAAGGGACGAAATTCGAAGGGTGGAAAAAT